ACACCGGGGACAATGGGGACACAATGGGGACAATGGGGACACGGGGACACTGGGACACTGGGGACAATGGGCAAACTGGGGTCACACTGGGGACACTGGGACACACTGGGGACACTGGGGAGACAGTGGGGACAATGGGGACACTAGGACAATGGGGCACAATGGGGACACTGGGACACAATGGGGACAATGGGGACACTAGGACAATGGGGACATGGGGGCAATGGGGACACAATGGGGACAATGGGCAAACTGGGGTCACACTGGGGACAATGGGGTCACACTGGGGACAATGGGGACACGGTGAGGACAATGGAGACACACTGGAGACTCACTGGGGACAATGGGGACACGGTGGGGACACACTGGGGACAATGGGGACACACCGGGACAAGGGGGGACATTAGGACACTGGGACAGCGGGGACAGAGGGAGCGCGGGCTGTCCCCGCGGTGCTGGGGACACACAGGGACACGGGGCCGGGGGGACACCGGGACAGCGGCGAGGCTGGCGGTACCTGGGCAAAGAGGGACGGGGTTGGGGACGTTGCACGGGATGTCACCGGGGGCTGGGGACACCCCCGCGTGACGTCACCAAGGCCTGGGGACATTGATGGGGACACCGGCGGAGGCTGGGAGCATCCCGCGTGACGTCACCGCGCGCCGCGCACAGCGCCGATGACATCACAGGGGGGGCCCGAGGGACAGCGGGAGGGATGTCCCCGACATGTCACGACAGCCGGAGCCACCCGGGCCGAGTCCTCGCCCTCCCTGGAGCCCTCGGGATCCCCCTCCCCCACCCCAAAACCTCCGGGACACCCCCCCGGCCCCTCCCCCACACCTCTCTGCTGCTCCCGCCGCCGCCGTTCGCTGACGTCACTTCCGCCAGACCGCACCGGAAGTGACTGTGGACCATAGAGAGGAGTCCAGAGCGCCCCCTGCAACCATAGAGAGGGACCCAGAGCGCCCCCTCCGACCATAGAGACCCAGAGCCCCCTCCCCAAAATAGAGACCCAGAGCCCCCTCCCACCATAGAGACCCAGAGCCCCCTCCCCAAAATAGAGACCCAGAGCCCCCTCCCCACCATAGAGACCCAGAGCCCCCTCCCCAA